CACACACACACACACACATGTGCACACACACACACATGTGCACACACACATGCACAGACACACACACACAAATGCACACACACAGAAGTGAAAGATGAGAGAGATGGAGAGAGAGATAGAGAGTGAGAATGAGCTATAGTATAAATTAGTATGTATTTCTTAATGAAATTGTGTCTGCAGAAATGGACAATTATACTAACACCTGGGCATTAACATTTTATGTCAGATTTTTATCTCGCTCTTTATGATGTTCTTCACTATCTACTATCATTATGTTCTATAGTCTTTTATCGATCCTGGACAAGACCTCAATGGTGTTATTTGGGTAGTTATAAGCATGACGGACGCTTGGAATGCTGAGATTCAAGCCCAATATTAATTTGTCCTCTTATGACACTGTCTGCTTGTTTGATTAAAGAGAAATACTGTAGGTGGTTGGGGTGCACCACTGGTAGGTCCTACTTCTTTACTTTCCCTCTTTGTTTCTCTCTGTTTGTCTTACATGTACTTTTTTTTTCAACTCTAAATGACCATTATTGTGTTGATAATTCTCAAACAAATATACAAGCAAGAGAAATAGAGAAATAGAGGGGGGGAGGGGGGGATTGCAAAAGTAGGTATACAGTAAGTATCGCAACATTGTTGTAATACTTAATTAATTCAAGTTACTAGCGTATGAAATAAGTTACAATAAAGTATGATTTATGACAATGAAATAGTTTTAGTGAGAGGAAAAAAAGTATTTTAACAATGATTTGATGCTTACTGTATACTTACTTTTGCATTCTCTTTTATGTATTAAAAGGAAACCAGTCATTTTATACAGTGCAAAAGCATGTTAGACCGACAAAAACTCTAAGAAAACCTACTTGCTGTATACTTACTTTTGCACTTCCTTTTATGTATTGAAAGGAAACCAGTCATTTTATACAGTGCGAAAACAAGTTAGACAGACAAAAACCTCTAAGAAAACCTACTTGCAAGGCTGTCCAACCACCCACTACTCTTTCCTGTCGACATATACCCTATCGGTGCTATCAGTGTGGTGGTATGTAGTTGTCAATTTCATTCCCCTACATGGACCACTACAGTTGCTCTTGTCTTTTCACAACCAACACTTCTGTTCCAAAGTTGAGTCCTTGTATAAGGATTATCTTCCTGGTTGTAAGTACAGTTGAAACTGTCTAAGACGGCCTCCCACTGTTGAGGAGAAAAGTAGCAGTATTAGACAGGTAGCCATTTTACAATGTGTCATAATGAAAAGAAAAAAAAAGTATGGGAGGAAATGGGGAGTGGCTGTTTGTACAGGTGATTGTCTTATACATGTGACCGTTAGAGCAGGTTCAACTGTACTAGCTTTGCTTTTTAATGCTTAATATAGTATGTTGTCACTATGCTGTAAAACCCAACCTAGCCCTTTTCTCTTCTTCTCAGTGGCAAGATTTCCTGTGGCTGCTGGAGTCTTGATGGCAAAAAACTGGTCATGTGTGTGGGCTCGACACTTCTGGTGAGCAAGCAGAATACATTTGTGGTGCATTGTGTTGAAATCAGGCGCTTTTCAAAACAATGAAATTTGAGAAACAGACTTCTTTTTTTGTGTGCCAGTTTTGCTAATTTTACGCCTTTTATGTCCTTTCAAAATTACATTTCTGTCTTGATTTTACTGAAAAATGTAGACCAAAGGGACAAAAAATGTAAATTAGCAGTTTCCTAGGACACTACAGAGCTTTGGAAGTCACCTAACTTTGGCAATAATCTTTTTTGCTAATTTTTACCTCTGACCTGTGATCCCCACCTCTTTCAATCCTGAACATCTCGACTTCTATTCAAAATAGCTAGGTGTTTTTTTCACCAAAAGTAGGCCAAAGGAAAAGGCTTAAAGATTATCCTAGTAATTCCATATGCCTAAAAATTGACGAGCACCTGATTCCTCTGCGTCAAGACACATTTTCGTTTCGCATCACTTTAAATTTCTTTTAATGTTGTACATAGTGTGTATTATATGTAAATTTTATTTACTTCCTTTAAAGTCACTACATCCTGCATTTTTTTACATGCATTGACCTGAGCAGTTTCCTGCATTGTCATCAAGGGATGTAATGTTTCTAGGCATTGTTTGTCCACTGCAGGATGTACCCTCCAACAATGACCTCCACTCTGTTTTTTCAGCTGTTTTCTGTGTCCAGGTTATACCCGTCTTCTCTCTCATGTAGTCTTGCTATCTTCTTTCTTGTCTTCCTAATGAATACATAAAGTACCAAAAAAACAAACAACTACCAAGACACTATCTTATGAAACTGTTCCTCCCTAATATTAAGTATGTGTAATGCTTTTCATATATTTTTCCATTTTCTTTTCTCGCCTTTTGCCTAAAGTGTAAGTTGTGGTTCTAATGGCTTATGTCTTGTCTTCTTTATCCAGGTGTACAGATGGAATGATCTTACGACGACCTTGGATGACTTCACAGCAGCAGCTTGGGTCATACCAGGGTAAGCCAGCTCTTTGATGTAAAATATTATGATCATGCAGAGCTCTTTTATGCCCTTATAAATCTTGCTTGATTGTTATGTTCTCTGGCCTTTTTTTTTTTAAAGCATTTTATTTTTGGTTTAAATTTGAATTGGACCATGGGTAATTTGTAGGATATTCAAAGCACATACACATTATTGTATATAAACTGTTCACATAAAGGCCTGTGCATTATTCCACATTTTTTTCAACAATGTCTCAATCTCTTTTCATAATCCACTGCCTTTATTTTTATTTCTGAAAGTTTAAACCTGTGAACTGTGAAAGACAATCTGTATTTAACTTACTTACCTACTTACTTTTTCACCCTGTGTTGCCGTTAAGCGTCGAGGGAAGATGCAGTTTCCTATGGTAGGCCAGCTCCGCAGCTCTCTCAGTTGTGATGTTATGTTATATAACTTTCTAGACTTAAATAAGTATTTCATATTCAGTGGGTTTTACTGGCGCTGTGGTCCTGTCATGTGTGTGTAGCTCGAACAAAGCACTAACATACTGACAAGATCTTTCGCTGTCTATGTCCTTATCCTATCTCTTGTCTTATCTTATCTCATGGCCAGATTGGATGGTCAGGTGACGTCCATCTCTCCAGTCGTGAAGGACTCTGTAGTTGTTGCTGCTGAGGTTCCCCTAGAGAGTCTTTGTAAACAACAACAAGACTTGTTTGCTGTCCCAGGTGAGAATTTTTTTCTTGATGATAATTATCATAGCCATAATGATGATAGTGATGATGAAAAGAATTTGTACTGCTCAAATTCCCACTCAGCAGCAAGCTCTATAGGCTTTATTATCTATTTTATTACCCCTGCAAATCTTATAACATTCTGAAACAATCTCAACTTTCTGGGAAGATCTTTTGCTGTCTATGGCCGGGTACCCATTCACACCTTAGTTAAGGGAGGAAAATCCATGCAAAGTGCCTTTCGTAAGGACACAATGTCAGGCTTGAGGGCTTGAGGTGAGCCTCGATACCCCGGACTCGCAAACTCACAATTACGAGCCTGTTGGCCTAACAACTACACTTCTTCCCTCTATGTATTACAAATTATGTTGGCAAAAGATGTTTTATCAGTGACAACTTTTTAAATTTCCTGTTTTTGTTATGACTAAAATGTATAACAAAGAACTTGTAGAAGACATTAATATTGTAGAGATATTTTTTATGCTGTAAATACAGTCGAATCTGCTCTAACCGTCTGTCGAAGACGAACGACTTTGCACTCCACCCTCCTTCCCCCTTTTTATATTTTATTTTAATAATGACAAGGTCCAAGAGGACCTCCTGTTTAAGATGACCACTGTTCTCTTCGACAGTGGGTGTTTGTTTTGAACAGTTGCAACCGTAGTACCTCAGGACATTTATTGTATGGCATTTTTTTACAAATAAATCTTCGATAGCCCTGTTCATATATGAAATATGTATGGTAGTTTTATGTCTATACAGCACAAATATGAATAAGTAAGATTTTGTTTTTCTTCCAATGTGAACATTTCTGTAGGGTAAATTCTGTAATTACCCTTCTGTATTTTCACTACTGTTCATTCCTCCGCCTAGCCCTGTTGTCACATTGGCTTTTCTTTTTTATTGTTATTTTCAATTTTTTGGGAGTATATTTTTCTGTTTTCTATTCTCCTATTTTCCTCAGAGGTGAATGGTATTGATGCCACTGGAGACGATGGTGTCCTCAGACCTAGCAAGTCTCCATCTGCTACTCAAAGTCTTCTCAATTTACAACAAAGCTCTCAGGTATGGGTTTTAAAACCCAAAGAATCATGCACCATGAAAGAAAATATCAGAGTAATTTTATTTGTTTTAATCAGAAGTTGGTGCACAGAGGCTATGCTGCTAAATTCTCTTGCTCTCCAAAAGTTTGAATTTTAAAGAATTTTTTGCTAGCAAGTAGACACTCCATAGGCCACGTAATTTGTTTTGATTTGAGATTAGTTTTCTGAAGCTGTAGCAGACTTTTTGTGCTATAATCACTAACACCGCATATATTTGCTATTTTTTTCTGAGTTTCAGTACACTCTTAAAGCCAGACTTGAAGAGGATTGTAATAGTAGTGTGTAGATCAGAGTACATTTCCCTGTATTTCGTCAAAAGTGTTTTCTGATATAAGTAGATTTCACAGTTTTACTTGTTTGTGTTTATTACAAGCTGCTTGTAATTGTTTCCTTTGTATATTTTTCTTCAGTTCCTTGTACAAATGAGACCATTATAATGCTCAGTAAAATCATCTCATTGGGTTTTTTTAGGCAGCAGCTGATGCCAGATCAACCTTGACATTGGTGAACCTGCAGGATGGTTCACGTGACCCTGTCAAACTCTCCAGTGCACCTTTACGTGGTGTCCTTACTCCAGATATTCTCCTCTATGAGGTATTTTATGTTTATGATATGCATTATTATGTTGATGATGATGATGATGATTGTTCTTCTTCTTTTCTTAAAATAATTTTTATCTATGAAGCATCTTTCATCTCACTGCATCTTGTAGATATCATTACTTGTGGATATATTTTGAATATTTCATTTTTAATGTTATGTTTTTCTCTCATTGGTTGGGTTCTGTTTGATGAAGATATTAAACAAAAGGGAAAGTGTTTTTATAAAAATCTTTGTTATTCCTGCCTGTCTCATTGTTTTTATTCTATCTTTCTGGAACCTATCATAGGTTTAAAAAAAAAATAGATTATTCCTTTAAGCAATAGCACAGGTCTGATTGCTTGGATAGTTTTTCTGTGATATTTTTTCTCTTACCCACACTAAAGCAGCCAACTGCGTAAAAAAGATTTTTCCGATATTTTTTTTTTCTTTTATCCGCTGAAAAGCAGCCAACTGCTTAAAAAAAGATTTTTGGTAATATTTTTTTTCGTTCACCCACAGAAAAGCAGCCAGTGTGTAGTTGTGGGCAGTAACTCCCAGAGCCAGCTTCACATCTATGCCCTACTAGACAAGCATTTGGCCTACTGTGGGGACATTGTGAGTGTTTGTTCGCCACCTCTTGTCATATTTCCTACCCTTTGAAGTGGAAGAAAATGGAGAGGAAAGCAAATGATTGGACATGTTTAGAGAATAGGAAAGGAGATGAAAAGAGATTTTAGAGAAGAAAAATTTCCTGTCACTGTCAGGTTTCTCATATGACCTTATGCAGTTGCGAACTCCGTTGTGAATAGCATCTAAAACTGGTGGTTCTGTGATTTTCCTTCCATCCCGGGGTAAGAGATAAAGCAGTGGCTGTAGATGCAATGCCACAAACAAAAACCCAACTCCATCACAGAGAGATTGTAAGAAAAATGAATGGGTATGTTGGTGTCTGTTGTATTATATTGAGAAGTTGTTTGAGGAGATAAAGAAGAGAAAGACGCTATTAAGAGCATAGTTGCTGTGTGTTGCTGAAATACAAAAATTATAATATAATAATAATACGAATAGTAATAATAATACCAATTGGAAGCTAGATTTCCCCCCCTCCTACCCGAGCAACCAATTCCTCTCATCCGAGAGATGGGGGCAGGGGAAGGCATGGCAGATCCCAGAGGGTAAATGTTGTCAACAAGCAAGACGCAAATGGTCTCTGCACCTTCTCCGCAGTCATAGGGCTCTCCGATAAGTGCATGCTTAATACATGTATGTAGCTGGGTATTCTCTACGTAAAGTCACATCCAGTACAGTGCTGACAATGAACCTCTGCTTTCCACCCCACCAATACCCGTCCCAACTCCAGGTCAAAGAAAGGTTGTCGATGGAAAGAGGAGAAAAGAGAAGTTAATAAATGTAATAAAATAAAACAATAAAGACAATAAATAGAAAGAGTAAGAAACATAGTAAAGTAATATGTCTCTTTTCGGGGTCACCCCTTGACCCGTTAGCTTCCTCTTTTTCTTTTCCTATTCGAAGAGTACTAATCCCCCCCACCACGAAGAGGTGGGTCTATTTGGGGGGGTTGCGAACTCTGTAAAACCTTACTTAAAAACTGTCAGGTTTTACATTTGTTGTTGTGGTGTATACTATGATTATAATACATAGTATTATGTTCACCCCATTATAACTTGGCTTCTTGCATTTTCCTGAAAATTTTCTTTTTGTTCCCAACCAAATAGCTTTAATGATGTTTTTTGTTTTCTGAGGCTAACAGTTTATCTCTAGCTTTGTTCTTGTCAGAAATAGCTGTATCTTCACAGTGTCTTAAAAGTGTCGTTTGTTTGACTGTGGGGAAATTATAGATGTTTACTCTTTTTGCTGCAATGTGACCTCTTACTTTCTGCAGCAATGGCTCAGTTTTTTGTTTCAAATGTGCTTACTGTTGGATTAATATGCAGGCTGGGGATTATTAAGGCCTTAAATTTATATCTGTTTTTATTTTAGAAATGTTTGTGACCTGATATGAGCTCAGATGTTTTTTATTTTGTAAGACTAATGTTCTTTAATGTGTTCATAGCATTGTGCAAAATTAAAAAGGATGCAGATGTACTTTCTTCTGCACTCATCTCTTGTTCATGCTTGTCATTCACTCATGGTAGAAAGTGTTGCTTAATACTGGTTTCTATGACTACTTTTTCCTTGAAATAGCAACTGGAAAAAGGCCAGAGACCCAAGGGTCTGTGTTCGATGCCCACCTACTTTGATGACCACGGAGCAGCTCTGCTTATCCTTGTAGGCCACAGGGCGACAGAAGAGGCATCATTTCTCTCATCTGCCTTGGAGGCGGAGTTTCAGCTGTCACTCAAATACATCATCCTCAAAGCAGGTTTGTGTTTCTGTGTCTGAATCAACACACTGTTGTAAAGTGGTGATGGTTGTGGAACAAGGAGTAAGAAGAAAAAACAAGCAAGAACTTAATGAGGGTCCTGTTGTTTTAATCAGAGTTTTGTTTTTTATTTGGCTGAAACTTGCTAAGTTCTGGCAGATTTGTTGAGTATTTTTTTTTTTCTCATTTGAAGTTGCATAGTATAAGTACTACAGAATGCTTATATTTGCTGATTGTTGATACTGACACAAAATTAATGAATACTTTCCCTTTGTTTTTTTGGCTAGATAATGCAGCATCAAGGAATGAAGGTATTTTGGTAGCTTATGGTTTTGTTTATATATAAAATAAGTACTGATTTAGCTTAATTTTTATGTTCTGCGGTATTGAGGTTCCCTATGATTTTTTAAATTTCCCATATAACTATTTAGTGATGCGAACTGCGTACAGCAGGCATGGGCAAATTACGGCCCTGTGGCCAGATTTGGCCTGTGAGTAATTTCAGTCCAGTCTGCGAGTCGATCCAGTACATTTATAATTAACTCTTTTTATCCGGGCTACAAGTATACTCGTAACGAGGACCAGTCTGGGCTACGAGTATTCTCGGAACAGCGATACAGTCTCGTCAAAGAAGCTAGTTCTACTTGTAATTACCAAAATACGCAAATACGGCGATGCTAGCTCAGCCTGAATATTTTAATTTTCCAATGAATAGTGGTTTCTTTTTTTTTGATGGGTGTAGAAGCTTGAAAGATGTCTCGAAAACGCACATTCACGACCGACGAAGTACTTTTTGATGTTGCGCTGGGTAGTGAGGGGAATGATACTAATTTGATGATAGTGACTCTGAAATAAGTGCCGTAAATTCCGTTGTGGATGATAAGAAACAGGACTTAGACTCATCTAATAGCGATTTAGATCATGGTGAAGGGGTCAGTACTGGAATCCGTGTTCAATGGGTAGGGCTAGATCTAGATCTATAAAATCCAATGGGACGTCGTGGGCCCTGCAATCAGGGTCAAGTTCAAGGGTTGAATATACCTCAAAATCTACATTGTGCTATTGGTGTATATCCTAACCACATACATTTACAAAAACTACATTCAATTTCTAACATAACTGCCAAATTTCCTTAAAACCTTAGAGTAAAACTAAGAAATATAGCACTTTGAACTATACGCACTGACTTCCGACTCATACGGCGCAGCAGCCCCAGGACGGGTACAGAGTCCGTGGGGGTACGGCTAGGATAAAAAGAGTTAATAATAAAATAAAAGTCATCTTCAAAATTACAATGAATAGTCTCCAGCCCAGCTGGAAGGAATATATTTAATATTTTATTTCATGAAATTTCCTTGAGTGACATGCTATAGTGTCAATTCTAAATCTCACTTTTGAAAGTTTGGATATTTCCACTGATTTCCATCCAATTGGCTCCTGCTCTGGCCCCTGCAAGATATTCAGAATCCCTTAGTCTGGCCTTTGACTTAAACATTCTTGCCCATGCCTGACGTAAGGCTTTGACATTGTTTTGTTGTCCTAAAGTTCTGAATATATCTTTACAATGCTTGTTACTTGTTATTATGTAACGATTTTGTTGCTCTTTTAGCTTTCCTTTTTATTTGAACTACAAGTTTTGTTTTTCTTGAGAGGAGGACATTTTTATTTTCTTATTACTGAGGAAATATGCTGCATGGGTCTTCTGGGGCTGCCGATCATCAGAGCTGGAAGAACATGTCCATATGTCCATCCTCTGTACGGATATCAAGAGGAAGTGTATAGCCTTGGAAACAACTATGTTCAACAAAATTCCTAAGTGGGTTATGAAACCTAATCACTTACACCTTCGTGGAAGAAAAAGCTTACAATCCTCATCTCTTAGATAACCTTAAGTATATCAATGAAGATGTAAAACCCCACTTCTCACTTAACTACTTTTCTCTGTCTTGTCTCCGCCATTATGTGACCTCAGGCTATGAAGGCCGCTCCAAGCACAATGGACACAACGAAGCAGTAAAAGTTCGAACCCAGGGCAAGAGTAACACCAGCATCAGCAAGTCTGAGAGCATGAAAGAGCACAGGCTCAAGGCACCGAAGAGTGATGCCCACTTGCGAAGCCGTAGCGGCAGCATTAAGAGTGATCACCAGGGGGCAGAACGGGTCAATTCTAAGGAGATGGAAGTTCGGATCCCAGACGCCACTGTTACAGAGTCCCTCACAGGTGGTGCATGTGTCCATATCTTAGTATGTTTTTAAGGCTGCGAATGCTTGTGCTTGATAATTTTTTTTCAGGCATGGATTTTCTATATTGTTGGTAGGTGGAATTTGAGGTTTATTACTAGCGTCTTTGTGTCTGTGAAATGATAAAAGCTTGGCATGGGTTACGCTATAATGGGGTTTAAGTTCATGAAGATGGAAATGTATATGGCAAAATGGAAAAAACAATTTTGAAGACAAAGAATGGGAATGGCCTGAGGAAAAAAAATAATCGATATTATAGAGCCGTCAAAAAGTGTTGATCTCTGGTCCACCTCTTAAATGTCTCTTTTTAAGGAAACAGATAGTCTCTTATTCTGGTTCGTAATATCGATTATTTTATGAACTTTGGGAACTTCTTTTTTTTTTTCAATAATTGAATTAAATTGTTGTTGTTTTTTTGTGTGTTTTTTTATTTGTTAGTTGTTGTTGCTTTAAGGATAAAATTACATGTACATGATGCATGGATTATGTATTATGATAAGATCTAGAAAAATAAATATGCTGAATCTCAGAATTTTTGTGGCAACAATATCGTTTTAAGATATATTTATTTTCCTCACCATTTTTTGCACAAAGAAGCACAAGTGATCAGTGAGAGAGAATGAACTTGAGAGTAAGAAATGAAGTTGATGAAGGGAAAGGGCTGAGAAATTCTTTATTCTCTTTCACCCGATTGGCGAGTGGTGTCTGACTTCTATTTTTCCAAAGGCTGTTTTGTCAGTCTGACCGGCATAAAATAATATTTCAAAAAATGTTCGATCATTTTCCGAAATAGATGTTAAATGTTTTAAGAAATGCTTATTTACAATGAGGAGTCCTGTTAAGAGCTGAAATGACTTCTCAGCCTTTTTGTTTTCCTTTTAGGTTATGGTACCATTGTTTAGGACTTAATAACTTAATGCAATACCCGCATCACATAATCTTCTCCTTTCTGGGAGTTCGGATTCTGCCGAATTTATTTTCATTGAGCAATAACAATTATGGCAATGTTAAAAGGATAAATTATTAGCTGCTGAGTGATCATGATCATCATCAAACTTTTTGCTTTGCCAGTATGTGTTTTTAAATACATCCCTTTGTTGTATTTACAAGTTATTTGCAATCCATTAATTCTTCTGATCTGTCATGTTTTCCTGGTCATGTCTTCTTTTGAATGAAAATTTTCTAATTTCCTTTGATCAGGGTGAAGCTGTTTGAAGTTGTGATGAGAGAGACAGTAAAGAAACAGGACAAGGGGATTGCTGATTATTTTGCTTGTTTTTGATATAATCTTATAAATGAAAATGTATCATGCTTTCATTCTCTGTAGTCCGAGAAAGCAGTTGTCTTAGATAGGTGGATGTCTTTGACAATTCATTATAATATTTTTAAGGATTGAAAAATGCAGGGGGGAAATGAGAGGTGGTCATTGTTGCAGGTGATTGTCTTGGACAAATGGCAGTTAGAGCAGGAGGACTGAATTTAGAAATTCATGACTTAACGCCTACTTTTGTCGTGTGCAGATTCTCAACCCCTTCTGACGAGAGTTCCCACCGAGTCCTCTACGAAGCATCATAGCAAGATGATCGAAGACATGTCGGATACTTCAGACACACCTAACGCAGAGAGCCTTGAGGTAGAAACATCATCCTTTTCAGACCAACGACCGTCTTTTCACAACAGCAAACTATCAAATGAGTTTGACCTGCATCCTCCTTCCCGTAGTAAATCAAAAGCTGTCAAGGAATCCAAGCTTTCGGCTTCTCAGCCCTCTTTGTTTTCTCCTACGGATTATGTTGAGTCTGTGAGCTTGGGTAGCAAAAGTGAAAGCAAAGAGCAATTAACAGAAGTGAGCCAGGAGAAAATTAACAATTATAAAAAGACTGGCATTCTGAGAGTGAGTCCAACGAGACAAACACACCAGCAAGCAACAGTAGGAAAATATGCAAGTCCTGAGGAAAAAGTGACAACTCCTGTATCTGAAGAATCTCAAAAAGATCCCCAACAGCCTACCCACATGGCAGATGTCACTCCTTCTTCTCATGACCATGTGAGTACACAGAGCACAATCTCGGAGGTGATAGATATTTCATTTGTAGCTAACAAAGGGCTGTCGCAGAAAGACTCGAATCATGAGCCCTTGGTCCAACAACTGCCGTGCATTGCGGAAGTCAAGTCTGAAGCACCTGAACAGACTGAGCTAGCGGGCAGACTGGACAGTACAGATGGTGAGCGTGTGCGAGAGGAGACCTGGTCAGACCGGGGGCTAGGCAGCTCTCTGCACAGCGCAGACTCCAGCTTTGACAGCATGGAGAAACAAGTGAGGCAACAGGTGGGTGTACTTCTTTGCTTTCTGGAGTTGATATGTTGATACGGTACTTTATTTGTCCTCTACAGTACGCACACACCCACGCACACACACACACACACAGACACAGACACACACTCTCTCTCACACAAACAGGTACACACACACACACACACACATACACACACACACACACACACACACTCGCACACACACTCGCACGCACACACACACACACACGCACGCATACATGCACACACAAACTGTGCAGTTGTTTATTCTTGAATAAGGGGAAACATATAATGACTATGTTTAAATCTCTCTCTTCAATGAACATTCCATCTTGTTTGTACAAACACAGATGGAAAAGCCACAGCAGTGAAAGGGCTACTGCCTGCCACTAAGTACTGATTGTCATAAAATACCAAAAACAATAGAAAATGATGATGTGCACCTTGTTGTGAATTTTTCTGTCTCTTACTTCCTTTACTGGTTTCTTTGGGTGTTCTTATATTTATTTCAGTGCTCTCCACATTAAAATTTGTATTTAAATTTTAAGTGGGGGGTTGACGGGTGCCCTGTGTGGTTTGCTCCTGTTTTCATATCAAACTTGTGTTTGTTACTTTCTTGTAACACCTCTATTCTTCAGCACTTATATGATTTAACGGTGTTACAAATGCTGTAAATCCTTAACTAAAACTTAAAAAAATAAAAATATTGGTTCATCTTTGTTCTACTTCGTCTACTCCTGTCGTCGCTTAACCGGCATCTGTGGTCTGATGGTAAGGTTCTTCACTATTTCCTCCCATTCCATTGAAAACGTGAGTCTGATTCACATCTATCTGGAAAAGTCGTCTCATAGAGTAGCTCCAGCTCCATCATTCTGCTGGGATGTTGAACCTCAGGCAACCTGAGTTGGCCCAGACAGATAGAGACAGGTCAAAGCAGCCCATCCCCTAAATTATCATAATTTTGTTGATGGGGGTATTAAAGAGTAAAATTTGCAATCAACCATTAAAAAAAAATCATTTGGTATAAATCCTGCATTTTTCTGTACCTAACATTTACTTCTTTTCTCCACAGAGAGAAACAATTGAAGCTCTTCAGAAAAGGCTTGAGGGTTTATCAGTGTAAGTTACATGGCAGAAGTTCTTCACTGTTGAAACCTGTGTCGTCTGACTTGAATACTCTTAGCTTTCAGGTTGTGGTTGCAAGTAAAGCAGGTTCTGGGGTCATTTATAAGTGAACTGTGAAACCTAATGATATCTCTGAGAATTAAGCACAATATTGATGATAGATATTATTAATATTATTAAGCTTTCAAGTTTTCTAAATACTGTCTTAACTGTATAACACGGCCACCTGTTGTCAAGGAGAAAAGAGGCCATATTAGACAGGTGGCCATCTTACAGTATTGTAACTTACACAGTGTCATTATAATATGAAGAAAAAAAATTCCACATGGGAGGAAATGAGAAGTGGCCATTTGTACAAATGATCGTCTTATACAGGTGGCCGTTAGAGTAGGTTTGAAAGCATTCTTAGCCATGACTTAATAGCGGCTATTTTACAAATATTTCAACCTGAAGCTATTGGACATAACAAATAATGTTATCTTAGTAGATTTCGTGAGATATTCAGTGAGTGAATTTTTATTTCATCTGTGCTTTTAGCATAACTTATGTTCCGGTTAGAACTCCATCATCGCTTGAAATTGTTATTAATTAAATTAATATTGATATTGTTGTTGTTGTTCATCCATGGTAGTTGACAAAGACCAGAACATCACATAGAGTAAATTGATGTTAATTTATAGCTAACAACATGCTGGGTTTTTTTTTTTTTCAGGGCTGTGGATCAGACCAGCTGTGTTTTCCCAAGCAGATATCAGGACATGTCTCAACCAGGTCAGTGATCTGGAACTTGCTTATAGTAGTCAGCCGGAACAAAATTGTTCTTCTTTCATAGAGTCACATAATTGATGGGTGGTTGACAGGTGCTCTGGTGTGGTTTGCTCCTTCTGTCCCGTCAAAAGTCCTCTGTCTTTTTTTTTTTTTAATCTCAGAGAACAGAAGACGGGTGGGTGATTTGGGGGGGGGGTGTTGGATGTATTTTCTTTTCTGGGGCATTACGGTTTGTGTCCTTTTTCGAGACCCCAAGATTATTTACCCCCTTTGAATCCTAACTACCACTCCCCCCCCCCCCCCCCCTTCCACAGGTAGTTGTAGCCAACTTCTTTCCTTTTCTTTCCCATTCTTGTTTTTGTCATTCTATATAAAACTTTTCCCTGCTCAAAATTATATACTCAACCTTGCCCATTCATTTCTATCCCAATCTGCAAACAGAAATGATCGAGATCGTCTGTGACAAGCCAGAGGGAACAGAGACGAAAAGATTTCTGTTAGACAATGGGAGACTACAGCTGGAGCCGGTGAAACTTTCGTTTGGCTTGGATACGGTGGAGCTTTGGCTCGGTGAGTGTTTTCTCTTCCACAAAACTCTGTGGTCAGGTTTTGTTTTGTATGCCATCGTATCTTAAGCATTATTCCACAATCGCATTAGTTTTTAATTTTTAAAATTGTTAGTTTAAAAAAAAAAAAATTAAGGAAAAGAGAGCGCCCAGATCAGAACCATAGCGTGAGCACTCTGTATTTGTGAGTATGCCCAAAGAAAGGAACCGAAAGTCACCACAAACCATTTTGAGCAACAGGCTGATAATGACAAAAAATCAAGTTTTTGACCAAAATGTATTTCCATTTTAAAAAATGATAGTTCCACCATTTTTTAACAATATGTTAAAAGAGTTTTGTTGATTTGACTTCTAAATATTTTATTTTGAACTATTTTGAGGGTACATTATGTTTTAATGAAAGCTACTTTTAAAAGGTGATAAAATCTATTCTTGAAGCATGTTTTCTCTTCCCGACTTTGTTTTATCATTGACTTCTAATCATAATATTGATGTCATTTGAATGCCGAATTGGAAATGAATTTTCCATGAATAATTTCATTAGAAGCAATTGAACCATAATTTTTTTTCAAGTTTTTTTGTGTTCTAAACTTAAAAGCTAATTTTCTCAAAATTAGATCTTTATACCCTACGTCGCAAAATGTGCAATATCTTAAAAACTACTTGAGATATCTCAAAAATCAAACAAACCACAGTGTTCAGCATTGAATGTCCTATTAGATACTACCCTTAACTCAAAATGGTACTTTTGGTACCTTTCTTTAGGCACACACACATTTTTCAATTAACAACAAAGGTACAGTCAAAAGTTGGTAGCGCAACCTATCCTCAAATATGTTTGTATCAAATTGCCTTGACGTAATCATATTTTTCTACAACAATTGAAGCTAGATAACAAAAATTGTTTCTTAAATTTATATAAAATACTTAAAATCTTTGTTACATGGAAAATGGGACTATTCACAGCACTCCCTGCTTCTCACATGCTTTGTCCATTTGCGTATATATATGGCCTACGTCACAGCTCACAAATGCAGGGATGCCAAATATTTTTTTTTTTTCAACTGTTGGAATTTTTCATCGTCGGCTTTCGTTTCTTCAACACGAGTTCAGGCTTTTGATCCACCCAAAATGCACTGCGTAAACCTGACCGAATGTTTTGCGTTATACAATCGCCCGCCGCGCTGAGACTCTTAGCATAAAGAGAGGCCTAGATCTAGGCTTGCCGCGAAGATACGGCAAGACTTGTGACTTTCATGAGGCAAAATTAACAAGAGTAGTGACTTTCATGAGGCAAAATTATGAATAAATGGAAAGTGCCAACGATTCGCGATGTGGTGGATGTGAAAACCGGTGAGAAGTATGACGTCAGTGGTGATGGGTCCACGCCAGCTCCTAAAAACAAATTCTCTGCAAAATGGCTTGCTGAATCGGTTTTTGTGTGCTCATTTAAAAGCTTTACAAGGTTCGGTTTAGGTGAGATGTGATGCTCCGCTCATTTTCCGTTTTTTTTTTTTCAAAAATCATTTGGCATCCCTGCTAATGACACAAAGTCAGGAAATGGATATTGACTAGAGTTATTTTATTTTGAGTCTGAAGGTGGATGGTTTTATTTTATAGTGTCAGCATTAATCACGTAGAAACATATAAAAGACTACTGCCTTTCTCTTCCTTGTTCATATTGACCAATGGCACATGACTACAGAAATTACTTGTTTCTGTTAAAGATGATATTGGGGGACCAAAAAGATAAAGACGAACAATAGATCAGATAAAGACGAACAATAGATCAGATAAAGACGAACAATAGATCAGATAAAGACGAACAATAGATCAGATAAAGACGAACAATAGATCAGATAAAGATGAACAATAGATCAGATAAAGACGAACGATAGATCAGATAAAGACGAACGATAGATCAGATAAAGACGAACAATAGATCAGATAAAGACGAACAATAGATCAGATAAAGACGAACAAAGGCAAATTGTGACTAATGCCATTTTTCACAGGTACTATTCATATCGGCTGCGCAGTGTGAGGCTCAGTCGTACGTCATTTTCAAAACAGCGCATGGCTGAGGCTTGCATTGAGCTATCGATGTGGTTGTGCTATTGTTAATCCTTTTATAAATACACTGTAAAAAGAATGTGGCTCTGAAATGTGTCCTAAGTTTTCATCTTTTGTCCTCGTTTCCCCCCCCCCCCCCCCCCCCCCCCCCCCCCGCAGATGGTATTCCGTGTGTGCTGGGTGCTAACATCGATGGCTACATTCCCATGAGGTTCTTCCCTTCCACATCTTTACACATCTCTGGTTTACCAGCGCACAGACCCACGCCAGCTGATCTTTCATAACATTCTTCGCAACTTTTATTTTCTATAGGGTGCAAATGCAGAGTGAGCTACAATTGCCAATTGAAAATCTCATTCCACCCCCCACCCCTCAATTTCTTCAGATATGTACTCTTCAAACTTATTGGTTTACATCATAAGTATTTGTAGTTTTACCTTGTAGGAGAAAAAAATGTTTCTAAAACGCTCTCTAGATTGGTGTTAAATTAACAGAAATGAAGAGACCTGATTAGTTATGGGCTCCAGTCATGTAAAATGAGCCTTTCCACAGTGTGCCACTTTGCAACAATTTGGCTGTTTTACTGCACAATACCAGATGTATGGATACATTTTCAATAAGGCAACGACGACATGTTCAATTTCATTTTCTTAATAATGGCAACCAAGTATACTTTTTAAAAAGTGATTACCATTTGTCGTTTTTACCCTATCAGTATAAAATATGCAGTAAATTTTGGCCTACCTTGCATATTTAGTTGCGTGTGCTATATACCGGTGTATTTGCACCTTTGAAGAAAATACCAATACCAGTGCACAAATTTTGCAATGCGTCCATGTGTGAGAATGCATAATGTTGAAGAGCCCCGGTACTGCAAGAAAAACATTCCAGAAGCCTAAGTGGGCTAGTTTGTGTCATCAGTCCTGTTGTGGTTTTTTTAAATGAATCTTTGATCTCATGTCATTGTACAGCCCTTGACAGATGCATTTTGGGTTTTTAGATATATACGTATATCACATGGTTATGTAGTGGTTGAGTTGGAGTAGTTGCTTGTGCAGCATGTCCATAACTACTCTCCTTGTCTTCCTCATGTCCACATGAAAGTGGTTTTAGTTAGAAGTTGGTTTTAGTCATATTTTAAGATTAAAATGAATCAGGGGCTTCACTCTCTTGTCATGTAGAAATGTGTTTAAAAGAAGACTTTTCTTTTCACTTCAAATTGGCATTCGATGGATTATGACGTGAAATGTAAGGGATATGAAATAGAGGTAAGAGAGTGTTTCAAATGCTTTATTTTTGTTCATAAATGCATTACAAGAGACAAATGTCTATATTTCTACCCAATGAGGACTTAATTGATCCCATAAAAAGACAAATGAACATAATGTTCTGTTTAACAATCCACCAAGTTAATCAAATTGTGATGGTAGCCACTGAAATTCCTTTATTTTCTTGTTTCTGTAAAAGATGCGTTATCTTTTGCTAGATATAAACAAGAGGATTGATTGAATGTGCTGGGTTTTGTTTCTGTCAAGAGGTTGTTGTTCTCGTCATGATCAGTTTGATATGCTGAAGCAGAAACCAAGGGTTGAGTATGGAAGATGTGAACTATTTTGTACAGCTGTAACTACAGATTAGTGTTTCTATAGTGCTAAAGCACACAGCATCCTACTTTGAGTATGTAGCAGTTTTAAGACAGGTATAGACCTGGATTGGGGAAGCAAACAGTCACATACCTATATATATATATTTAAGACGAGGGTTCTTACTATTTAATTTTTAGCCAACAGACGCAGACCATGCACACAAAAGTTTATGAATGCGTCAAATTTTGTATGGATTTTACAATAGTTTTGTCAACTACCCAGTTATTTTAACATCACAAACCAACCAATAAATGTTAGACCCATGAAATTAGTGTTTCTTTTTATCGATTAGTAGTAATAAGTAGGTGTTTTTTATGGGGGGGGGGGGTCTGTAAGTAATTGTGGCTACTCTCTTGTAACATTTTTGTGTGGAACAGTTTATTATTGTTGTTAGTGTATACAGTGTGCTATGTCTCTGTGAGGGGGATGGCATGCAGTGTCATGATGTTCCGCTGTTGTGAAGTTGTGTTCAATAAATATACAAATAAACACTAATTTTACTCCTATTCACACATAGATTATAAATCTCAATCATTCTCATTCTTCATCATTACCATTTGCTGTAATTTTTTAGTCCTGAGAATCTTCTACAGGGAAGCTTTACGATTGCTTTATAATGTAGTTTGACGTATATTTTGCCCCAAATATCTTACTAAACATAACAGTAATAACAGCAGCAGTGGAACAATCACTTTATTATGCAGTTGGCTCCTTGTTTTATAATGTGCATGTATATGCTGCTTTGAACAAAATATTCCTTGAGAAATTACTGTGTGGGTGGCTGGAGGTTGCTCTGGTGTGGTGTGCTCCTTCTTTCATATCAAGATCTCTATCAATTTTTTCTCTCCTCCTCCATTTCTTTGTCTTTCTCTCTTGTAACAACTTACATTTTCAGCACTAATGTGACTCATTTGTGTTGCAAGTGCCATAAAACTTTTTGTGAAACTTTTTTTTTAACCCTGAAAAGAAAAGTCTACGGTTTATGAAGTCAGCCATAAGTCTGTTGTGAATATAGAATTTAATCTGTTCCCTGCAAGCCCTTTACTCCTTGTACTTGGTTTGGCCTTTGTACAAGTCTGAGAATGGAGGGCTCAACATATTCTAACTTAATTGTGCTAGTCTCTTATTGTAGTTTCTGCATTGTCTAGACTTTCTCATTTTTCGCTTTGTCTATTGTAAACTCATTAATTCTGCATAATCATTTTAAGTGTATATGTGTCACATCAGTGTGTAAGCGGGAATGTGTGAGTGTGTATGATACATGTATATATATATCTATGTCTGTGTATCTGTGTAGACTGCAATTTTTAAGATTTCTGCTACACGGTTCAACTATAAATTGTGTTTCATTTATATATATATATATATATGAAATATGAATGAAATAATGAATTATATAAATGTAGAATGCACCCTATCCTGCTCTCTGTGATGTTGAATGATCTTTTGGACTTTTGTTTCCTCCACTCCAACTACTGAACAAATTCGTCAGCGAATTTCTCATATCAATATATATCAGCATTGGCGTTACGTTACGCCTGTCCCATTGTGTTCATATAAAGCATAACTCCAGAATAGAAAATGTTTTTACTCTTTCACATATGTATGAGTGTTTATGAATGTTTTGGCCAACATACTTGAAAGATAAATTTTAAAAATGAATAGAGAGAATGGGTAAGAGAGAATGAGATTGAGAGAACGGAGAATATAACAAGATGAAAGAAATGAATGACTGTAGTGTAAGAGTTACTTCTTTTCGTACTGTTTCTGAGAAGTAAAGAGAAACAGAAAGAGGGATCACTGTTGTGTGAAGTGTCATAAGTGAATAAGTTCAGATCTCAGGCACATGGGACACAGCTGGCTGGAGGTGGAGAAGATCTCTCCCCGGACACCGACAGGTGGAGGAGAGCCCTTCATGACAGCCTATACCCAGTATCAGGATGACGGAGGGGAAATGAACAATTAAAAAGGGGCATAAATGAGAAGGAAAAGATGTAAAAGTTTGCATGGGCCATTGTGTACATGCTGTTTGGTTTCATGTTCATTAATGAAAGTATCCAGTGAATGGAGGGGAAGGAGAAACATGCTCAGTCTATCATTGACATGGTATATATAATTTTCTTGAGAAGGATAGTAAAGAGAAAATAACTTAGCTCTCAGTTAGGTGTGGATGCAATTATTACAAACAGCATTGCACAAATGTCAGCAGATGTAAAGAAAGCTCTTCATATCCGGTTGTTCATGGGTGTATGTCCCTGACTACGGTTAACAATAATGTACATTTTTTTAAAGCTCCTGTGGCTTTGAAATGAAAGAGGATTTCCTGTGCTCTGCTTTATAATATAACTCAGCCTTTTGTCAGTGATGTTTTACACAGCCCCACCCTTTGTTCATTCAGTTTTCCTCCTCACTATACTCTGCCATGATCATTTGCTATGCAAGCAATAAACAATATTACTTACCCTAAATATTTGCGTTGGTATTCATTAATATATATGTTAGATTTATTTGTGAAAAGAAACTTTTGACAAATATTGTAGGCTTGAGTGGTATGTACTTGTTTCTATTCTTTTTCACTGATGCAGTGTAAATTGATCCTTATTTTCTCTTTTTTCTACATATTAGAAGTTTTACACCACCATTGACACTATTTAGATCGTTTATAATAATAATAATAATACGATAATAATAATAATAAAAATAAATAGCATTTGCATAGCGCAAATTCCCGCTTAACAACAAATTCTATGCACTTAAACTGATTGATGTTATGGGCAAGCTGAGCTGATGTGCTGTATACGAAAAGTTAAGTGATTGATGTCACTTGGTCTGTCAGTTATGTTGGTGAAGAAACGTACATTGTGTATTTTAACACAGATATATTATTAGTACAAAAAAAAGGAAGTACAGTAAAAGTAGAAATAATGACAACAATGCATTGTCTTTATTATGGTACAGTACAAAAAGGCAAATGAGCTGTTTCATTGCACATTTCCATGTTCTCTCATTCTCTTTAACTTTCTCTCTCTCTCTCTCTCTCTCTCTCTCTCTCTCTCTCTCTCTCTCTCTCTTTCTCTCTCTCTCTCTCTCTCTCTCTCTCTTTCTTTCCCCCTCTCTTTCTTTCCCCCTCTCTCTCTTTTCCCCCCCTCTCTCTTTCAGACCCTCACTCTCACAGTTTTAAAGTAAACGCACAGCAGAGGAATATGAACAAGGACAAGAACAGATATGAATTAACATTTATTTTTGGTTTTATATGAATAAATAAATTAATAAACTGATCATGTAACAATAAATATATACATCTGTCATGAAAAATCTGAAATCCACAAGATTGTAATGCCTGCTTCATGATTTTAAAAAAAATGGTTTTCTCCCTATTGCTTAAAATAACATGTTCAGTTGAACCTCAAAATGAAGGTTTTTTGGTATTTGAAAGATATAGGCCTAACGTATAAATTTATGTAAAAATATCATCAATGCCTTTCAATTCACCCCATGTTAAAATATACATTACATCAAAGTTCACAAGTCTTCATGGACTTGATGAAACAGTCACGGATTTTGCTACTACTACCAATTATATCACAGGCAAAAAAAATGCAACACTTTGGTGAATTTCATACAGAAAGTAACAAAAAATGGCACTTGTGTGAAGTAAATAAATTCTAATTCTCCATGTCTTCATTTAAGCTAAAAATCTCACCTGAAACAGAGCAGACTCTTATTTTTACTCTTATTCAGCGAGGAACCAATTAACTCTTTGAACCCAAAAGACCTAGATACTTTTTAGGCCTAGCTTGTAAATGTCTATGACCCAAAACCCAATATACTGGGCTGGCTTGCCTGCCCTAAACACAGTAGTCTTCATGATAAACAGATAAATTTAGAAGCATAAAATCATTTACTGATTCTAGTTGGGTAGGATTATTATGATAAAAACATTATACACCAACCCCAGTTTTTACTAGTTCAGTATGTGTTTGCTAACCCTACTCAGATTTCCTCAATATTTTGCTCCGGGACCCCAGCGATCAGGGCCTGGTGAGTTCAGGGGGTTAGGGTTCAAAAGCATAATTGGTGACAAACACAACTAGTGAAGTGTCCGAGATGAACAATCCAAGGAGACTATGTACGTGTTGAGTTGTCTCTCTTTAGTTTCCCAAACTGGACTGGTTATGTTTAATTTTTTTGTGTACACACATATACATTATTATACATTAACGAATATATGTAAATATAATGCGAAACCAAAGAATAAAAATTGATACTTACAATCATGCTCGAACTTACTCAAGTCAAGATATGTTTTCCAAAAGTTCACTTGTACTTGTTGCGATGCAGATCGGAATTACTTGTAAATAATATTTTCCTCTCCCTTCCTTACCCCTTCCTTCTTTCCTTCCATTTCTCCCTCCTTTGGTGTGTTTGTTTGTATGCGTGAGTGCGTGTGTGTGTGTGTGTGTGTGTTTGTCTTTCTGACTTGATGACTTGCATCTCTCTCTCTCTCTCTCTCTCTCTCTCTCTCTCTCTCTCTCTCTCTCTCTCTCTCTCTCTCTCTCTCTCTCTCTCTCTTTTGAGATTCAAATATAATATATCCACCTCCTCACACTGCCTCACTAATCTATTTTGCTTCCCCATGTTTTTGTCTCTCTCTCTCTCTCTCTTTCTCCCTCTTTCTTTATTCTCCTTCTGAACGTCTTTTTTTTTTGTTGAGATTCCGTTACTGGATCTCATCTCATCTCTCTCTGTCTACCTGTTTGTCTTTATAGGCAGGTGCACACACACACACACACACACACACACACACACACACACACACACACACACACACACACACACACACACACACACACACACATACACACGCACGCACGCACACACACACATATTCAAAAAGAGGGGGGAGGGTGGCATAATGTACAGTGGAGTCTGCTTAAAAGACAGGGTTAATCCAAAAACAATGGAAAAACAGAGAGAAAATAAAGCCTCAGATTTTTTTTCGTCTTTGAAAGAAAACTATCAACTACCCAAAATGGTTACCATTTCTAAATCGAAAAGACTTTTTGAGGGTTGTCTAAATCTCCACTAGAAACCCTCAAGTAACACTGATCATCAAGTCTTGTGTGTTACAAAGTAACGAAACAGAGGAGTCTGAGGAGACACAAGAATGCACATGTGTCAAGTGTGGGCCAGAGAGAGGCATCATCAATGTCTGTTTGCCTACATTTGTTAAACACATCAATAGGTCTACACACTGCGTATAGGCCTAGAGAAACAAAGATTGCAAAATATATATTATGTGTGTCTTGCGACTTTTGGCTGGTCATGGCTTATTGTCTCTGCAAAGCTAGTTCACATGGGGCTGACAATAAGTATGCGGTATGGTCCTTGACGTCATCAGTATTGAATTGAGCTTTCTTTTTCCCTTCTCTATCTACTTTTGCATCTGTTCTGTGACTATCTGGTGAAAAGAATAGAGAAATGGTATGGTTTTAACACCCCTATCAACACTATTAAGTTATTCAAGATGCCTGACCTCCTAGTTTAACGTCCGTCTTCAAAAGGACCAAACCTAATAGGTAATTTGTGTAAAGTGCCTTTCCCAAGGACACAACATTGAACTGAGCAGAGGCTTGAACCCCCGAACCCGCAATCTCAAGATTACGAGTCTGGTAGCCTAACCACTGGGCTATCAATGCAATTGACTATCTGGTAGGCTAAGCGAGCTGACAAGTGTTGAAGAGAAAGCACAACGCGTACAACTTGCAACTCAAATTGCAGTTACTGGACAGTGGTAGAAGAGGAAAAACTTTCGAAAAGTGAAACTTGCCACAAGCATGGCATTCCAAACTCTAGACTTTGTACAATCATCACTGTGTATGTATGCAGCCTTCCCTAAACTGACAACCTAGTTACACCAAAGGATATTCTGCAAACTCGCAGATTTTGGTTAAATTGGATTCCTCTGTATATAATAGGCCTTCTATGAATATTCTTTTTTTTTTGTTCCAATGGACAAATTTTTACCGGGTTTGATTTGAAAGTCCATATTATATGGGTATTGTCTTTGTCTCATCAATATAAAAAAAATATCAGCACAGGGCCGTAAAAAAGCCATACAAACACATGACAATAAAAGCATGCAGTTATTTACCCTCCAGATTGCATAAAAAGCATAAAAATCCCTAAGAGACAGTTCAAAGAGTCATGTCCATCGACGTAAACCTCTCTCACGTTACTACTAAGGTATCATCAGATCCCTTTATTTAAGAGAAAATAACACACATCCTGATATATAAGAATGTATCAATGACAAGGCGATTGAATTGGAAGCTTGTGAGAATGATAAGTAATTGTACAAATTTTCTTTTTGAGCTTGACTAGTGACCATCTGACCATGTTCAACAAATCTGTACACTGATGAAAATAAACACATGTATCTTTAAAACTATCGTAGAGTAATTATCAGTAAAATTGCTTTGCTACCTCTCCTTTCACACATGTGCCCAAGCACATATACATACTTAGATACATACACAGATAGTCTCACACATTAACAAACTTGTATACACACATGTGCACACATACACAAACACACACTCTAACTAACAAACACACAGAAACACACAAACACACACACACACACACACACACACACACACACACACACACACACACACACACACACACACACACACACACACAACTTCTTCACACGATAAAGCATTTTCTTCGGCGGAATGTAGGGTAAAAAGTATTTACAATGGATGAAACAGAATCGCATGAGCTCTTATCTTTATCTCTCACTGTATCTCTTTTTTGATTTCCTCTCTGTGCCTTTCTGTTGCTCTCAGTCTTTTCCTCTCATCACCACTCTTTCTTTCTTTCTCTCTCTCTCTATTGTTCTCTCCCCTCCCCCCCCTCTCTCTCTCTCTC